AGGTCCCTTACAATCCAAACCATTCAGTGACTTTATGAGTCAGGACAAGGCAAAGCAGGTGAATTTATCCACTAAACTACATCACAGGTGAAAAAGACTTGCTTGAAATGAAGTTTTAGGCCAAAGTGGGACAGAGATGAGGTTCACATATTAAACAAACAGTCAAGGGTCATGTGTCCTGCCAGGAGCTGCCTGACCATCTCCAGCTGGGCTTTGCAAACCCCTTCCACAGCCATAACCAGAAGCCAGAGGTGGTGTGTGAGGATAAACCAAACTGATGGGATGATAAAGGCACTGGGATTGCTCTTTAACTGCCTTGCAGCTTGAATAAAATCACAGCATCACAGGGCAAGAGGGAAGTCCTTTATTAGAAGTCCTGTCTACAGGACACATCAAAAAAAATTCCCAAGCCCAGGCACTAATCTCAAATCCATCTATGAAAAGCCACCTCTCCACAAATAAGCATAGCTGAAAGCCAAATCTCCTGGCTGTATCCTCTCACTGCTCAGCAACAGCAAATTAACAGACAGCACACACTGCCAACAGAGTCAACCCCTACTCCTCTTTAAGGACAACTAAGGGCAGGAATTCTCCTAAGGACTCAATCATTACCACACTGTACTGCAGTTATTGGTACAGAAAGTGCTTGTAAGAAACATAGTAAGTCCTCCATGATTATAAGCAGCTCCTGCTTTATTGGGAAAAGGAACAGAGAATTTTAATTCATTTCTACAATTCTAGAGTAGCTAATCCTGAACACTGTTTTTTATGAAGGACAAGAAAATCATTAGTAGCAGCCAGCATGGATTCACCGAGGGGAAGTTGTTCTTGACCAACCTGATAACCTTCTAGGATGAAATGACTGGTTTGGCAGACACTGTCACTAATTATCTGGATGATGGGGCAGAGTGTGCCCCCAGCATGCTTGCAGATCACACCAAACTGGGAGGAGTGGCAGATACTCCAGAGGGTCGTGCTGCCACCCAGAGGTGCCTGGAGAGGTTGGGAAGAAGCTGGCAGGAGCATCATGGAGCTCAACCAGAAGGGCCAAGTCCTGTACCTGGGGAGGAACAACCCCAGGCACGAACATGGGATTTGATTTAAAGCAACTCAAGATGATCTGAGTCTTGCTCAGGGCCTCTTGCACCAAGTGCTATAAGGACAAAGTACTCACTCCCTCATTAGACTTCTGCTTGTGGAGCAAGAAAGATCTGAGAGGTTCAAGAACCCCTTTGAAACCTTCCATGTTTGTCCTCCTACCTTTAAGAAAACTATGTGGGGTTAAAATGCTTATTTTCTCCTGCAGACAAGGGTAAAATATCCTGACACACTCAAACCTACCACAGGAGCTTGGTTTCAGATAAACCCCTCCTAAAGCAAGCACCTACCCAGACTGCAGCACACAAATTACAAATCCTCCTGAATTTGCTTTAGAATCTAAAGTTCAAGGATAAGAGAACTTGCCATTTTCTGTTGTCAAAATAAAAAGCAGCACCACAAGGAATGTGGTTTTTGGCTGCATAGTTGCAAGTACAGGGCAAGAGGGTGTAATCCCAACTCTCCAAACCACCTTCTGCATGTTCTTGGGCAAGACACTCCTTGTACCTCCCTCTGTGTTCAAACAGCAAGTTCTTTGGGGCAACAGCTCTCACCTTTCACATAACAGTGGCAAAGCAAGCTTAGATTTCGACAGTAGTGTTAAAAATGTTCCCTGTGAGCTCCAGCTCATTAGATTTTAGTCTGACATGGAGGAGGTAAGTGATAAACCAACAGAAATTCAACTTAGGCTAAGCACATAGTACAATAAATCACAACCTGTGTGCTAAATGATGGGCTCTGAAATAGCTGCTACTGCTCAGGAACACCTTGGGGTTGTAACAATTAGGGAAGCAATGAAGTCACTAAATCCCTGCTGTTAAAATAGCAGCCAATGTTCTCAATTAGGAAGAGAACAAGGCAGCAAAGGGTGATGCCACTATGCTCTTAAGACCTCAGCATTGCTAATGCACCAAGCACCTCATTCAGCCCCGGGCTGACACGTCCTACACGTCCCTGTCAGCTTCTTGTTCCCTTCAGGACACTGTCAAACCTCTCCAAGTAGACATCTGATCCAGATTCCCAGAAGCAATGAACAGTTCATACTTAGCCCGAGAGAAGGTGCAGTTATTCAGCACATTATTCAGCACATTATTCAGCACACAGAGAATCACAGCACTTGCAGAGGCACTTAAAACATGGAATTAAAGTTTAACTTTAGTAAATTGTACCTGAAAGACATCCAACGCTTTGGCTGAAATAGAATAACCAATCCTGCAGTGCCAATAAGGCAAATGCTCTTAACGGCCCATCACCCTCTTCCTTTCCTGTAAAATCAGAACCTTCTAAGGCACCACACAAAAAGAGGAAACAAAAATCTTATTGCTTAAGACCAGAGTCACCAGCATGTACCTTACAGAAAGATGTGGCTGCACAATTTCCAGAATGCAAAGACAAGCAACCAAGCAAAACTTGGTGGCTGCAAAGAACTCCAAATTAAGTGCTGCTGAGCCTTTTGAAAGGGCACTGATGAATCACAGAGGAGAAAAATGGATGTATAAGCAGGGAAAGCTGGAGGTGTTAGATAAAAAGTCATATGAGAAACTACTAGAAATAGAAGTCAGTAACAAGATTCCAGAGGAGCCCAAATTCTCCAGCAGAGAAATAAATTCAGAAGCAAATTTTTCAAGGCATGCAAGATACAGCCATGCCTGAGGAAGTGTGAGCCAACACGATGACAGTGTTGAAGAACAGGGAGAATGTACATTTGCAAAACAATGCTTCCTGCCAAGGAGATTATCAGTGATGAGTGAGACCTGACCATGCTCAGTCAGTGTGTCTGACCCTTTGCAGGTCTCCACACCTGTGTACCTGTTTGTATTGGCTGTGGCAGCACCCCAAGGCCACCTGGCTCCAGTGCCATGTCTTTGTAAAGCACCCACCACAGAGATGAAACTCAGGTTTGTAGCTCTGCTACCACTTTAGTAGGTTTGCTTGTGATGCTTCAGTGACCCTGTTGTACAGAAAAATATCTCATTTATAGCATCAGTCTCCTACACAAAACACTAAATGAACAAACCCTCTCCCTTACGTTTTCATGGATAAATGTTACCCTTGTCTTCAACCACAATAAGGATTTTTGGAATAAAATGATGCAAAAGTTGCCAATAAAGTGATTCTCAGCAAATGGAAAACCTCCAAGTTATCAGACTGGAAACTCAAAAGCTGGTATTAAACAGCAGAACAGCTGGTTAAAGACACAAAAATTAGTGTGTGCACCTCAGGAAATGCTTACAGCCAGTCACCCAAAGGTATTTGCTGAAATAAGAGCCATAAATAAATCACGTTGCTTGAAGCCAAGTTGTATTTCAAGCCAAGTTCAGATCATACTAAATCTGCTATGACTGCTTAATTCTTTACAGCAGCCACTCAAATTATCTGACTCCTATAAGTAAATCTATGCTCATTCATATCAGGCCAATCTCTTTGTTTTACTACAGAGCAGCAAAGGCTTTCAAGTGTTGCTCAAGGTCAAAAAGAAGACTAAGAACAGTAGAATCTCTTACTGCCCCAAGTCCTGTGGTTTTGGTGTTAGTCAGGCCTGTTCCTCACCTCTGTTCATGAGGGTTCTTCCTCGGGGTGGATTAAGGCCTGACTCTGTGGGCAGGCCTTGTGCAGCAAGAGAGCAGAGTAAGGAAGCCAACACACAGTAGGTAAAATACAAGGCTTTTTTTAAAAATTCTGTTTTACAAGCGAGTGTTTGTACAGAGTTTGGTGGAACACAAGCGGACAAAATAAGCCAAACACAAGACCAAGGGTTTGTCATAGAGATCTGCAGCCAAAACTTCATAAAAGGGCAGCAACTGGAGATATTCACAGCGTTGAACTAAAGGTCTATACACCCTCCCCCCAACACATGAATGTAACAGGAAGAAGACATCCAGCATCTGCTTTCAAACAGCTAAATTGCCTTCAGAGCTCACAAAAATTTCAGCATCTGCACAATTCTGGGTGCAAGGGGGCAGAGAGACAGCTGCCACCATTGTAGAGCCACCTCCTGCCAACTCTTTGTCACATGCTGTTCCCAAAAGAAAAGCAAACATAAAACCCGAGAGCTGTGTAGCATTTTACATTTATTTAAAAATAAAAGAGTTGTAGTGTTTAGTAGTTCAGTTTATCAACTCTTCAGATTTTCACACGAGAACTTCCCTCCATGGCCTCCTACTTTGAAAACTTCCACAGGCACTAACGAAAAAAAAAGAGGCCTAAGCCCGATGGTATTTGACCTCAAATATAGAAATATACACAGAGAGAGCAAATGCCAGGTTTGAAATGATTAAACAAAGTTAGTTACCTATGTGTGATGTTGGAGGAAGTGAGAATTTGATACCTGGCCAGATATAGGAATGAGTGTCCCTCAGTTCTACCTACAGCATTTCACTAAGGGCCTGTAATCAGTTATGCCTGGGTATTTCTAGCACAGACTGCCTGACAGCACAGAGCTCCTGCCAACAGTCCATTAAATTCCTTCCTCCTTCCTTTTAAACATGGATTTTCTTTGGATCTGGGAAGACAGACAAACTCATTCCTTGTTGCTTTAGTCTCCATCCTGGCATAGAAAGTATTGTCCTGGAGTCAGGAGAACAAACTAACTGCCAACTGTCCAACGAGCCCAAATCACTGGTGTGCAGATGAGGACTTAGAAGAGCAAGGCTCTAACTCTAGGAGATACCACCAGGGGAGAGAAGCATCACAGCACGTAGTCCTTGTCCAAAGCTTCCCACTTATCGTGGATGCAGCACAGGGACTCCACGATGAAGCACCAGAACAAGGAAAGCAGGAATACAGACAAAGCATCTCCTCAGCAGAGGGTTTTCAAAAGAACAAAGTCATCTGAAAGCGCAACAAACCCCAGGATCCCCAGAGCAATAAGCAGAAATGTGCCAGTCAAAACCACACAGATGTGAATCTTTCAAAGGGCTTTATATTACAAAAAAAACATAGGTCACAACGAATGTGAAAAATCCATTCAATGAGGCTTGTTTCCAGTTTGCTGGGAAAGCTACTTTTCTCTTCTTCATTCCCAGCCTACTGCTGAAAACGTGATTGCCAAAACAGTGACACCTCGAGCCAGATTTTTAAAATCAAACTTGCTCCGCCAGATCCAGCACTCTGAACTTGTCCAGGTTGTAGAAACAAGCCTTCACGACTCTGCCTCCAAAATACCTTCCATTTAGATCCACAACAGCTGGAATTGAAACCAAGAGCACGTCAGCAAGCAGCAATTCAATAAAGTAAACATCTCTTTAACTGAACAGTCTAATCACTGAGACTGTTTAATCTCTCTACAAAAGGTAACTCTGAGGGTCACAGGACACGATTTAGGATCCCACCTTTGATGGCAGATTCAACCCGTTCAAACTCTAAAAATATTCTTACAGCTTCATCATCAGGGGCACCAGGGATCTGAAACAAAACAAAAGCCCCAAACCAGAAGTGATTAGAACAGTAGCAAGCCCACTGTTTTAAAGTGCTGTTCTTCGCAAAAGTAGTCAAGGGAACAAAATAAAAAGGTTCCAAAATCACAGTACCCTGAGATTTTGGCCCAGATTCTGAACTGAAAGTTTTTATCTTACAGATAAGGAAAATCCAGAATCCCAACACAGTGAAGCACCCTGAGAGATCTTTTATCTATGTCCCTTCTCTTAGGCAGTAACACACCAGTTGTGAGGGACAAGGGCCCAGTTTTACTTTCAGAGCAGCCAAAAAGATCCTCTCTTACCTCAAAGATGACACATTTCCCAACCTTGCCATATTTCTCGCATTCCTCCTTCGTTTCAGCTTCAAGATCTTCATCCACCTCCCCAGCACCCACCATGTTCTGAAAGTTAAAAGAATAAACCCAAGTCACTGGGTGGAGTCTGTGCAGATGGTTGTGTAGATAAATTAGAGATGCCCTGTGAACTGTGACCATGGATGCTTTAAAAGCTCAAGAGCCACAGGAGGAGAGAGGGGAACTGCACAATTTAAAGCAGTGTTAATTTGAAATACTTATCTCAGGAATACACATATTTTCTCCAGAACACAAAGCACCACATCTGTGCAGGCCAGAACCTCTGAACTATGCAGAGTCTTGTAAGAGGAACATAAGTATTAACATTTCAACACCAAGACATGTTCTCTGGCTCCCAACTTACCCTTAGTAAGACCACTTTAGTTGGGCATTTCAGTATCTCGGTCAATGGGTTGGAATCTGCTTTCTTGCCCGTTTCTGTTACAAAGACAGAACAGTGAATCGTGGGTAAGATAAGATTAAAGCTCAACTGGGGACTTTTATCAGAATCTTACTGATTGAAAAATGGAATAAAAGCCACAAAATGTAGTTTCATATTGTAGGGGAACAGTTATTCACAACTTGTAGCTACTTGGAAGGACAATAAGCAGAAAAATCAATTTTAGTTATGTGAATTAAGTTAGAACACTGACAATGTACTGACAACGTACTGCTTCTTTTGGGGAAACAACTCCTAAGTTCAGAATTGCATCAGATTCCCTAAGAACTAAAAATCAGCTCTCCTGACTTCCAACACTTGTGCTCAGGCAGAGGTGCTGTGGGCAGGCCGAGCTAAAAAAACGTATACAGGACTTTACAAGATAAAGAAGATAATTTCCACAAGAACGAATATGAGCCATTCTTCCAACTCCAGTATTTTCTCCAAGGACAGATGGTAAAAAAAAATCCAGGAGCTTCATTTCTCAGAGACTTGTTGTAGGACACAATTACCTTTCTCTGTAGACTCGCCAACGATGATCTTGCCACCCCTCTTGCTCGTTTTCTCTACTGACAGTGCTGTGCTGAGCCCCTGTTCATGCTTTCCCAGCCCCTGGCCCTCTCTGAAACCATACTTCTGCATGATTTTGTGAGCTACTGTCCCCCTGCAAAGAGAAAAAACATCAGTTAGTAAAGGTTTTTTCCACAAAACAGTAGCACTGCATTACTCCCGAGTGCTCAAATATTCTACCTCCTAAAATCTCCTTACACAGAGACAGAAAACACAAGAGCTTCTACAATTTACAACCTACTGTCTATTAGTTCCAAGTTGGTGTAAGCTCCAGAGGACAAGACCTTACTAGCCCTTCCTACAACAAATCTGGATATCCTCAGTATTAATTTAAACATGTCTAATTTTTCTGAATTTTCCAGAGCATCTTGAGGCAGCAACCTCCCCAGCTATTTAAAGGTACATTTTTGTAAGTACCTTACAAAAAGCACCTCCACTGACAGGTTTTGAAATTCCTAGTGAAGGAATAGTTAGAATGAAAACATACCTACAGGTGTTGACATTTCTTTGGTGACCACAGCTTGACAGGTCCAGACACAAAAAACATGTCATGGTGTACTAGTTTAAACCACAGTAAATATTCTATGCTCAGTCACCCCCATTTTATCAATGGGCAAACAAGATAATAGAGGAAATGCAGGATCAGTGACTACATGGCTATTTCCTAAGCATAGTACCTGAAACACACATTAAAAAAGGCCAAGAAGTCTGGCTGTGTAATGCTGAAAGATTTAAACACTAAGTCATTGAATAAACAGACAATTGTGTGGTCAGGGTAGGTCAGATTTTTAGCCCTTCCTTCAGTAAAGTGAAGGTCCCAGGGTACTGCTAACTAGAGGTGGTAATGACAAACAAACTGGTCCAACAGTACCAAGTTTGGTTATCTTTTTTTTGGACAATTAGAAGAAAAACAAACTCAAAACTGAGGTCTCTAAGCTGCTTTTAACTATAGATTCATCTTCACTTTGTTGCCACAGTAGGAACACAAGCCTTACACACAAGGCAGAAAAGTAAATGGGCAGGTTTGCAGCCACAGCTGATACATTCAGGCAAACATGCTCTGAATTTCTGAACAAACAAAGTAGAGTTGAAATGATCTGCCCACTGGTATGTAGCAAATTTAAGATAAAGTTGAATAAGAAATCTAGAGGAACTAACATACCACCCGTGTTTTCCTGTATACTCCATTAACTTGGCTTGTACAGACCATAAACACTTTAAACTGGAATGTGGCTTCAGAACTCACTAAAAACACAGCCTGGAGTGCAACCACCTCAGATGTGTTTCCCTCAATCCAGTTAATCCACTGTTTTCTTCTGTATCCTGCCAGTTTGGACTCTCTGCACTCAGAGTAACCACATACATACATGGGCTGTGTTCTTCTCCACTGACAAACTATTTTAGCTTTTGGTTTCCACCACCTTCCAATGCCTTTTTCCACAAAATGTGCAGCAGTCAGTCATTTACCCCATGTTAGCAAGGAAGGAGTTGCTGGGTCCTGTGGGGGAACGAGGCCTCTCTGGCTCATCATACACTGGAGGAGGAATTGCTGCTTTGGAAGATGGTGCCCGAGGTCTGGACTCCTCTTCATATGGGAATGATGCTACAGCTGAAGAAAAAAAACAATCTGCTTTTTCAATAAAATCCCAACAAACTATGAATAAAAGCCTCCCACATAAATCCAAATCAGAAGAATGTTTCCTTTGCATGTGCTGTTTTAACATCCTGTCACCTCTCTCTCACTCTCAGAAACAAGATTTGAGTTATTCTGGATCTTCCTATGGATATAGATACCCACAACTCTAAAATGTATTTATTAAACTCTTATTAAATGGAGGAAAAAAAGCATTAAGAGGCCACCTGGACTACAATGAGTTTATCCAGGCAGAGGCCAAGCAAAACTGAGAAGGCCCATTCATGAGGAACAGAATTACAACAAAACTGGATCAACGTACACAGCTCCAGGCCCAAAGACTGTGAGTAAAAATACACTTTACATTTACACAGAAGAGAAACCAGTCTATTAAAAAGAATGAATGCAACTCATCTCACTGAGAATTTCTGAACTGCAACTCTTCCTGGGGTATGGAGATATACCTGGATATCTCAGTTATACTGGTTAGATTGCTAAACTACCTTCCACTGACAAGTCTAATGGAAAAATGTAAAAAAACAGGTTACAGAACACCAAAGAAAATATGCAGAAACACTTTTGAAAAGTCTTTTGGACTTCTGTGAGACTGACTTCATTTTAGAATATTTTCTTGGGAACGAATTCTTGGATCTTATCAAATAAAAGGTCAGATGTGAAAGTTTGGGGATGTCATATGAGGAAAAAAAATCCTATTTGAACAGCAAATGGATTTCTGGACTTTTGGATTTCTGCTACAGCAATATTTTCTCTTGTTTTTCCAGCCTAGATTTAAGCATCAAGTAAGAAGCCATACAAAGGTTTCCTTGTGGGATCATGTCACATTTTAAAAGCTCTCCCCCTCAGGATATTTGTACCATTTCCAGCCTATATTTACTTTTCACTCAATTGCTCTTAATTATTTACTCAAAACATTCTCTTTCTGTTTTTAATGTTTACACATGTCAAATGCCTTCACTATTATATTACTCACTTAAGCTTTGGGTTTTTTTTTTTTACATTCCAGTCTTCTCATAAATAAACTGAAGACTCCCAAAGGAAAGTTTGTGCGCCTAGGATTCTTTTTTCTTATTATTTTTTAGAGTAGACAACATACTGCTAATTATTTTAATTTTAAAGTACACAACAGTTAGACATGGGGAAAAAAAAAGGGAATGGTTTTGTTCCCATGGCAAGATGATGCCACCTCGTGGACAACTGTGATCTTCACTGAGGGAAACATCAATGCACACACATCTCTCCAGCTGAACTGTACCCCTGAAAAACTTACAAAATTCTGTCTGTAGTGCATAATCCCTTCAGAAAAGACACTCACAAAATACTTCCTAAAGCAAAGGGTAACAGAAAAATTCCCTCTCCACGCTGTGGAGGCTTCTAGTCTACCCAGAGAAACCTGCCTGTGACATTTCTTTTTCCACATCAGAAGTAACTGAACATGGTTATAACACTCCACTGCGCCAAACCACTTCTCCAGCAACACAGAAAGAGTCCTTCAGAACAGAGATGTGAAGCACAGCAGCATCACAGGTTCCCCACAGCTTCCCCCCATCAACAAAGAACTAGTACAGGTCCTGCTGCCACAAAGAATCCTCTGGGAAAGGCAGGAAGACTCAACTGAATAGCATGCTGAGTGAGAAATAAACACTGCTGGGTTGAGAGAGGAGGATTTTGTAGTACTCACGTTCTTTGTCCTTCTCAACCAGAGAAGTGGGTGGTGCAATGGCAGCTCCTCCCATACCTATGAGCAAAAAGGAAAGCAACAAATTTGGATGACATCACAACAGACCTGAATTATTGACTGTAACTTTGCTGCTGAAAGAGAATAAAGCTTAATTTTGTTTATGCAAAGACATATTTCACCACCCTGATCCACATCATCTGACTGGCTCTGAGGGCACTGAAGTAACAAAAGCAGGAACGATGAGCTGAAAACTCAACAGTGATTCTCGTAGCCTGATTTTATCTCCTGGTTCACTCCTCTCCTGGAACCTACACCATGCAGAAACTTAACACAGGTATCTCCAAACTAAGGTAAAAAGAGGTCTTTTCACAAATAATTTAGCTGCCACCTGCCTCCACGGAAGAAAAAAAATCAGTTTTCTGCATTACAACAGTAATGCTGTAACAAAATGCCAGGTTTATTCTAAAGGCTCAGAAACAACTGTGGACTCATCTGAGGAAAAGAAACACAGAATCCATGAAACAGGAATGAGATTGTGCATTCCCCCCACCCCTCTTTTTCCTCCTCCCCTGTCTCCCCATCAAAACCACAAGCAGTTCCCTTACTCCTTTTCCGTCTCTCCCTTTCATAATCTTCATCTTCATCAGAATCTGGATCTGGTCTTCTGGAAAACCCACTGGCTTCATGTCTGTCTTTACGTCTTCTAGGAGACACAGTAAGTTAGGATAAGAAACCATCAAAGTTAACTCTGTGCCTTAATTTATGAGCCCACCTTTGCAGTGTGAATTATTCTGCCCCACTCCAACTGGCATTTTACCATGTTTCCCATGACGGTGTAAGTAAACACCTCTATTATTTGTTTCTCTGCTTTTATCCTCATGGGGCATTTTTTAGTAAAACATAAGATGGATCTAAAGCAAGATTGTTTTCCACTTACAAGTCAGTCAGGAAGAATGTATGGAAAGGAGGAAGCACCTGAATAAATCTAGTTCAAAGAGAGTAGAGTTAACTGAATGACTACAGACCTTAATTAATCACCCTGCTCTGGACAGAATCCCTTATAAATTCTCCACCACAGGCTATACAGAGTCATATCATTTACTCAACTAAAAAAATCATCATGCCTAAACATCTTTGGCAATTAAAGTAAGATTCAGGCATAACTTCTAACATTAAGTGAGGAATTCTTCAAGAATTGTTTGCACTTCAACTGTTATCTAAAGTGACCATGAAATCACTCATTTTAATACTTCAGAAGAAAAAGGAAAAGTATTTTTTCCCAAAAGTTAAGAGCATAGCTTGCTGCATAAATCAGATCTCACTCCTAGCACAGCCATCAGAACTGTGCTACAAGATGCTAAAAACAGCTATACTGTGGAACCACACAAAATTTCTGGATCTCTACCCTGTGAATGCAAAACAAATGTACAGCCTGTTGTCCCAAAGCAACATCTGATGCAGGTTTGGCTGAGATTGCTTCCCCAATTTGAAGTCAGAATGCATTATGCATTTTTCACTTCCTTTCTCTAATGTTATGTATAAAGACTCTTGGCCTACACACAAGTACAAACATGACTACAGAGCAATCAGTGTTGAAGCTGTGGGAATGACATCCCAGATTTCTGAGGTCTTACATGCCAATGGGATAGAGCCTTAGGCTTCCTCCTCCATCAGAACAATGAACATATAACAAAGAGAAGACAGAGAAGTCCAAATGACTAGAAATATTAATTTCCACAATCTAAACAGGGCAACAGATCTGTAATTCCACCAACTTTGTACTGTGACAAAGATAGTTTATTAACTCCACTTAAATTAAGCAAAGATAATCTTCTGCCTGAAGATATTTTACCACTTATTTCAATCAGACACTGAATCTGCATTCAACTTCCTTAATATGATTAGAAAGATTTCTTACTGCAGGGAAAGGGTATTAAGGTAATTAAAGATAAGTATATTTTTTTTTGTGCAGAGACAAAAGAGTAATAAACACATAATTAACTTACTTAAACTGAATGCAGAGTATCAAAAAAAGGAAATGTAACTATGACTCTCAAAAACTCTGCTAATTACATCTTTAAAACTGAAAGCATTCCTGAATCAGTTTGTAGTATTTAGGAGCAGAAAGGATTTTTTTATCATTGAGCGTTGAAAGGTTTTTCTGCATTCTGGTTACACTGACATCTAATATTAAAAAATACCTGCAAGGTCAAAGTCTGACAGTGATGCATGAAGCAGCCAAATATTGCTGCTATTATTGAAACAAAGTAAATTTAGAATACAGAAATGTCAAGTTTAGAAACCTGACATGTACCTTTCAGCCAGAGGCTGCAAACTTGATAATTCTCATAATTTTTGCACTGTTAGGTGACTTCAGCAAGAGAATTAAAACATTAATTAAAGCACTGCACTTGTTTCCACAAGCACAGTGTTCTTCACTAAACCTTTCAGAATTTCCCTGAAATCGTTTGGAGGGATAAAGTTAAACAAACTGATGTGTCTGAGTGTCAGTATGCCACGAGTTCACACAAAAGCCTTACTTTTCTCTTTCTTCAATCTCCTTTTGCCTCTCCAGCTCACGCTGCCTCTGTCGTTCCTCTCTCTGGCGTTTCACCACTTTCTCGTAGTCATTTGGGAACATGGGATCATACTCATCTGCCAGAGGAATCAACACATCTCCTGCAGAAAAACCACTAGGGACGGGATCCTTTAAAAAAAAAAAAATGGAAAAAGGAGCTTGTTCAGCTGAGATCTGAAAACAACATCCAGCTGGAAACCAAGAACTAAACACTTCCAATTCCTGACTTCTATAACGGCAGGTAACATCCTAATCCCACTGTGACTAGAAGAAATCTTTGCTTTACTTAAAACTAACACTTCATCCAGTCTCTCATTACCTCACATGAATCACCCCCTCCCCTTGCCAAACACAAAGCAGCAGCAAACCCTCATGGACAAGAATTTTTCAACCCCCATTAATTCATTATTACAAGTTTTACAGTTTCTTGCCATTGCAGGCATCTGCCAGGGTCCTCCCACACAATCTCATCAGGCTTTTTCATCAGCTGCTATATGATACCAGAAGAGGTACACAGGCTGTTCTCCTCTCATCTGAAAGAACTGTTTCAGAACTATCACCTTTGAAAAAGCTTCAGGGAGAAAGTTTCTCTACATTCCTCACCATGAGAAATCCATTTTAAAAGGTTAGGTGGCTTTTCTTTTATTTTTCAGTTGATTGTTTTACAGGTCCAGTTCTGGTGCAATCACAATTAGTCATTATTTACCTGACCAAATTGGTGTCTTGCCAAGTACTTTGAAGCTGTCCAGGAGAAATACTCCAGGAACACTGTTTTATAACTGCACATTAACCTTGGTAATTCCATGCTGTACCACATGGAAGTCTGTATTAAATTGAAATGCTCATTAACTAAAGAACTCTGAGCAGAAGACGACATTTTCAGAAAACAATCACTTCTCTGACCACTAGGAATGACGATGAAAAAATAAAAATAGAGACTGCAGTCAAAGAATTCCATTTCCAAAACATTTGCTAACTTTTTAGCTGCCTTGGTCTTACCTTTAACCCAGCTGCTACATGAGGTGGCGTGTCCACGATCTGCCTCTCATCAGATGAGTTCCCTCGTTTCAGGTCAATCACTGGAGCAAGGACTGTGCTTTGTTTTGTTCTCTGACTCTGCAAAAAAACCACCAGAACACAAAATGTCTAAAAAAGATAAAACAGTTTTCTAAAAAGCAGCTTGATATACTTTGCAGTGGTAGGTGAGTGGTCCCAGGTTCAGACTAGAACCAGAAACACACACTAAAAATTCAGACCACCTCTTCAGATGAGTTAAAACCGAGTCAGGTTGTTAAGAAGGGATTCAGTTTTATTCCAAAGACCTACTGTTCTTCACATTTGTCGTCTGATAACATCTATTAATCTATTCTGAACTCTGAGTTTTCTAATCCTATTCTATTCTTCCATTAGTCTATGGATACACTGTACATTAGTTACATGGACAAAGAATATAACTGATACAGTAGTCATTAGGATTTTATTCATGCACTTTGTTCCAATTATCAGCTAAATCCTGCCCTCAATTTCACCAGCATAAATCAGGAGTAATTCCAGTGAAAAAATGCTGTGCCTACTTAAGTATTTGGCTACTACTTTTTTAATTAAGTAATCCCACTACAGAACCTACACACCACAAAGAACACAGTGTCCTGCCTCAACCAAAATATCAACACTGCTCAAAGAAAAAGGGTGAAATACTGCAGCAATAAAAAGAGAAAACGGTTCTGCCAGAGTTTAAACTCAAGGAATTTGCTTGTACTCCTCCTTCTCATGTACACTGTAAAAATTTCTAGTGCAGGATGACTTGCACTTTAGCACTGAAAGCCTTTTAAAGAGCAGCATAAACTGATGCAAACATGTAAATATCTGATGCAAAATGCCAAGAATGACCAATAGCCAGTAGTGACAACTATCAATCACAGCATGACCCTTATTTACTTTTAGAACAAAGAAAAAAGCTTAATCTCACTATCTTTGATAGTTAAATCTGAAGATCAGCTTTTGGCTCTGTTCATTAAAAGCTCTGAGGTTTGCAGCACATACATCAGCTCTTCATTCAGTTTTAATTTTGCAAGAAACCCTCTAACAGACTTCAAGAAACACACATCTCACCTTTTCCCCTGCTCAGTTTTGCTGGGTTCCTTGCTACAAACTCACAGACAAATCCCAGCAAAATTACCCCAAGTTGGTATTCTAAGGTCACGAACACAATGCACCGATCAATAATATGCAATAATCATAAATAACAATAAAGCAAAACCACAAAGGGACTATACCTTTGCTTGTGTGAGAGCTGCTTTCTTCACCTGCAGCTGAGACTGCAGCAGTTTGAAATTCTTGGACCAGCCTTCTGTTTTAGAGTCGCTGGTCTCAACTCCCAAGTCATCGTAAAGTGACATTTTCTCTTCAATTTAAAACTGAAAGACAAAAGGAAAAAAACTCCAGATGACACAACAAACCTACTTCCAGGTTATTTGCTACTAATTTACTTATGTTGGTACACCATATTTTCACATATATTTTTTTCTAAGCCAGGGAAAATTTAAAGTAGTAACATTTTTCTGGTTGGTAGCAAATAGTCATAACTGCATTAAAAAGTAAGAGTTTGAAAGGTAATGAAAACTGTTCAAGCATTAACAAGTGCTGGAAACTTCCCAAAATTATGTTTGTACCATTAGATGTCAATCATTTGAGGCTTTGAAAGAGTTATACAGCAAACACTGGTTCACAAAGAAATTCAACATTATGCATCACATGGGCCTCAAGATTTCTGAATCAAACACAAATTATTATTTCTGCTGACCTTAAAAAACTGTCCACACAAACATGCAACCACTGCAATCAGCTTCCTAAATTTCACTATTTTTTGCATCATAAAGGAGCATGCTTTTTATACTAAACAGACTTGGCAGAGTAGTATTAAGTAATAATTTCTACAACATTGAAAGGCTTCTCAAACACAGAGAATTCACACACACACATATATAAAAAAAAATTAGGCAGGTAACATCAAGAACATGACATGAAATATATCATTTTGTCTGATATTGCATCTGACATGGATAGAAGAAGAGAAATCTGAATGTCACGTGAGGTCTGTCACCTGTGGCACAACCTGTAAGCTCATTATTTAGCCTCTGACAGGTCTGGATTGCAGCACCTTCACCCCAAAACTTTAACTTCTTAATTTACAAGCATCACAGATTAACAGCCTGCATTGAAAGCTTATAAATTCATCAGGAAGATACTGATCCCAGAGATGTGACAGGTACTTGGGAGGGAAACTCCTGACGTACAGGAGATGGCTATTGCTGTGGGTTTAACTTATGTGCATTTAAACCTGTGGAAAAAGTCTCAGAGGCAGCAGACACTGAATAAATTACAACACCAAAACGTGGCAAGCTCAGCACAAATTTTTAAAAAAACAACCACAAAACACAACAATTTAATCCTGCAGTGGAATATGAACAACCAGGCTCAGCACAAAGGAGTTTAGAGCAAGAAAAGTAGGTGGCTGCACTCCCTGGAGATATTAAATATATGGGCACAGGGAATGAGCCACAGAGGGGGTTACAGGGCACAGGGTGAGCACAGGGCACTGCAGGAGTTCCCACCTGCCACAGGGGAGCAGGATTTAGGCAGCAAGAGTGCTGCTCTTCTAGAGGAGACAGGATGCACTGTGGGGGAATCACAAAATCAATTAGGCTGGAAAAAAAACCTGTGGGATCATCAAGTCCAACCTGTGACTGACCCCCACCGTGTCACCCAGCCCAGAGCACTGAGTGCCATGTCCAGTTGTTCCTTAAACACCTCCAGGGATGGGGACTCCACTACCTCCCTGGGCAGCCTATTCCAGTGTTTAATCACTCTTTCCGTGAAAAAATTTCCTCCGAATGTTCAGTCTAAACCTCCCCTGACGCAGCTTGAGGCTTTGTTCTCTTATCCTGTCCCTTGTTCTCTAAGAGGAGAGCCCGACCCCCACCTGGTTCCCCCCTCCTGTCAGGGAGTTGCAGAGAGCGAGAAGGTCCCTCCTGAGCCTCCTTTTCTCCAGGTTGAGCCCCCCCAGCTCCCTCAGCCGCTCCTGCTGCTCCAGACCCTTCCCCAGCTCCGTTCCCTTCTATGGACAATGATGGATGGATGGGGGCAGGGTGCAGTCATCGCGGGGAAGCGACAAAGGAGCTGCACCCAGGCTAAAAGAAAGGTTGGGCTGCGATCTCTGTGATGTCCAGCACTCTACGGACACAGGGGCCGAGGCGGGGGGGCAGGCCCTGACCGCCCCCCCCGCTCCACACAGGCCCGGACCCCTCCCAGGCGTCGCTGAGCGGGGTACGTCCGCCCTCCACCCGCCGCGCCCTGCCTCTCCACACCCTGCGGACTCCGGTGCCGCCTCCCCACCGCCCAGGCCGAAGCCGAGCCCGGACCCGCCGCTCACCCGTCCCGGCACCGCCGCCGCCATGAGCCGGCGCTGAGGCCGCCGGGAAGGGCCGTCCCGCGCCTGCGCACTGCGCCCCGCGCCGCCGCCGCGCTGCCGCCCCCTGGCGGCGGGAGGAGGGAGCGGCACCGATGATCTGCCCACACACCCCCGCCGTGCCAGTATGAACCAGTACGGGACACTCCGTCCCACTATGAACCAGTATAGGGCACTTCGTCCAGTATGAACCAGTACGGGACACTCCGTCCCAGTATGAACCAGTGCAGGACACTCCTTCCCTGCATGAACCAGTATGGGGCACCCCCTCCCACTATGAACCAGTACGGGGCACTCTGTCCAGCATGAACCAGTACAGGACACTCCTTCCCTGTATGAACCAGTACAGGGCACTCCATCCAGTATGAACCAGTATGGGACACTCCGTCCGGTATGAACCAGTACAGGACACTCTGTCCAGTATGAACCAGTACAGGACACTCCGTCCAGTATGAACCAGTATGGGACACTCCGTCCCGGTATGAACCAGTACAGAGCACTCCATCCCACTATGAACCAGTGTGGGACACTCCGTCCAGTATGAACCAGTACAGGACACTCCGTCCCAGTATGAACCAGTATGGGGCACCCCCTCCCAATATGAACCAGTACGGGACACTCTTTCCCTGCATGAACCGGTACAGGGCACTCCTTCCCTGCATGAACCAGTATGGGGCACCTCATCCCAGTATGAACCAGTACGGGACACTCCATCCCAGTATGGACCAGTATGGGACCCTCCATCCAGTATGAACCAGTATGGGACTGGGGAGGGAGCCCAGTGCCCAGGGGAGATGCAGGATGCAGTCCCCAGATGGAGGCAGTGGAGGAGGCGGTGGGAAGGCTGCTCCCCCCTCGGACTTCACAGCACGTTGTTTTGACAGAGAGAACCCAAAGAAGAATAGCGAACCCCAAATTCCTTTGGGTTTTCACAGTCCTCATGGTGTGTGATCTGCACTCTCAAAAAATCACAGAGTGGGTTGGGTTGGAAGGGACCTTAAAGATCATCCAGTTCCGACTCCCTGCCATGGGCAGGGATACCTTCCACTATCCCAGGTTCTCCAAGCCCTGTCCAACCTGGCCTTGGACACTTCTAGGGAAGAGGAATGCACAACTTCTCTGTGCAACCTGTTTCAGCGCCTCACCACCCTCACAATCAAGAATTTCTTCCCCATATCTCATCTAACCCCATCCTCTTTCAGTTTATAGATGTTCTCTCTTGTCCTATCAAAAGAGATGAAAGTTATTCCTCTCACAGTCTGCACACGACATTCATCAGGTCTCTAGGGTATTCCCTGCAATAACCTTTTTAAAGGAGGTATATGGAATCATGAAGCTAGAGACAAACAATAATAAACAGAAAGTAAAGTTTATTTTGGTGGGATGGTTCAATGCCAAACGGATGCTCCATGTAACTCATTTAAAGAAAAACACTTCAAATCCCGTTGGTGACAGCAATAACAAACCCCTCTTTAGTCCCACGCTCAGAAATTGAATTATTGTTAAGGACTTTTCAGATCTAAGAGCCCGTGTTGCTGCTGAGGAGGGAAGAAATATCATTACAGCTGAATTGTGAGGATTTGGGGAAACAGACTTGAGTTTAGAGATATGTCCCTGCCATATGATGAGCTGCCATTGACCCTTATTAGTTGGAACTATACTGGAGTTTGATTTAGGAATTCGACTGGCAGAGGGCAGGACTGTATTTATGCCCAACACTATTTTCCTTGTATGTTATATCACAATTTTCTGCAGTGTTTCTAACTCCTTGAGAAATCAGTGGTAGCTTATTGAATGAGTAATCTGACATCTTGTCTCCTTGGGCATTCAGCATTTCCAGTTACTTAACAAGAACATCTTAAATTTGGGAGGAAAAAATGGGAACAATGATATGAGGATCCTCTGAGTTTGACAACGCAGTTGTACTGAGAAAGTGAAGAAGAAAGAAAATTTCTTTCCCATCAGACATCTCTGTCTTATTCTGGCATGTTTGTTGCCATCACTGCCACTAATACTGAGGTCACTGGGTAATTGTTGTTGCACAGTATTTAGCTATTTAGAAATATTTATTGCACTATGTCATTTGGGCTTAAAGACTGATTTGGTCTGCAGAAATAATTTTTGTTTTCTGAAGCAATCCTTAAAATTCTGTATCTGCCTGAGCCTGGATTTTACCCAACCACACCAAATTCCCACCCCAACGTCTTGCACTAATTATTCAATGTCTTCTCTTTGACAGTGGCAAGGATGGATTTTCGGTTTTGCTCATACCAAGCATGTCAAATCAGGTGAGCTGAGCTTTCTAAGAATTTCGGCCACTTGCACCACATGAAAAAGCAGATAAACATGCAAGATTGTCTGCAAAGCCAGGCACAACCTCCAACCCCAAAGCAGATAGATCTGGCACTTCAATCTCAAAATGTTGCAGACACTATCTCTATATGAATCAGAAGGTCCTTATCTCCAGCATTGCTTTCAGCTGTGCTACTGTGCACTTTATTTCCCCACAAGGAGCTGAAAAAATAGTGTTAGTAAGTAAAGATGCTACTTCCTCTCCTACTTATGTTGCTTTTTATTAACACAATCTTCCTAAACACATTTACAGGTATGTCTGTTTTCATAAAAACAGTGAAAGCTTCTTAAATACCAGAAGAAATTGTTTTCACTTTATTTATGGAGGATCTCCCAAGTATTTTCCTTTGGTTTCTTGCCTTAGTAATGCCTGCATTTTTTAAAGGAAGGCTGGATATAATTCACAATCTGTAACCTTGTGGAAGAAAAAAAAATCAGCAAGACACTAATTTTACAGTGTCAGAATCCCATTAGGAAAAGAACCTGCATCCTATGTTAAAGGAAGGAGTCAAATAATTAATTGCATCAAAAAGGACTGAGAGAAATCACTGTGGATTGAAATGTCACAGAGCAATAGCACAGAATGACAGTCACTGGGAGAAACCAAAATGAGGTTAGAGTCTGCAAAAATGGAAAACATGGCAACAGCAGGAGATTTCAGTTCCTCCTTGGAACAAGTCACAACAGGGAGGGCAAAGGCTGAGTTATTAGACACATAAATAACTACTTATTAAAGCCATGAATCATAATTCACAAGAAGAGAAGCAGCTCTTGGTTAGGTCTGGAAAGTGCATTAGGCATGGATCAAAACTGATCCATCACTGTGATAATAACCACCATGTCCTTGTACACACCCATTTAGGAGCAAAGGATCCAGTAGAATCCTGCTCATTAAATTGAGGAAGGCTGCAGGCTGGTAGAGAAATCTCACCCAGCTGCCAAGTCTGAAGGTCCCAGGTAGACTGGAAATGGAGGAAAAATTGGTGAGGTCACCCCCAGCACTACACATCTTGAAGCCTACGGATTTGTGGCTGAAATCTCCTTTTCAGCTGTATCTGCCAAGGTGAGGCAGCACTGGCCAGCTCCGTGCCTCCAACAGATGGTACTGAAGTCTGATCTTCCAACTATCTTTATTTTTTTCTGTTAGGATTTCAGACCTTTCCATCTTGGTGCTTTTCCTCTTGAATCCCACTAATGGTTGCTGTATCAGCAGTCCTACCTCTGTACCTGCTTTTCTTATCTCATGTGGCCCTGTCTGTACTTTTTCTTGCAGTTCCTTCTCCCAGCTTAGCAATTTTCCCATCAGTTTGAGAGGAGTTTGGTGCAGCTGGGTCTCCTGAACTCGTGGGAGAGGAGAGGAGGGAGATTATGGAGATGAGGTTACAGGCAGGATCAAAAAGCTATGAATAAACTCCCGATTTTCCCACTGTGAGAAAGAACCACCAGCCTTGACTGGGACCCCTCGTTGTGCCAACAGGTAACCTGGAAAAAGTGAACAACCAAGGTGATAAAATTTGCTGTGGATCCCAAATTATTCAGAGTAATCAACCAAAAGCTGAAAGGGAGAAGTTGCAGAGGGATGGTGTGACGCTGGCTGGGTGATGAGATGGCAGATGGGACCCAGAGTTAATGAATGCAAAGCAATGCACACAGGAGAAAATAGCACTGACAAAACACACACAGCAGCAGGCTCTAAATCAGCTGCTTCCATTAAGGAAAGGGATGCTGCATTCATTGTGGATAATTTTCTAGAAATGCCTACTCAGTGCTCTGAAGGAAGCAAGGAAGCAAGCAGGCTGCTAGGAAGCATTAAAATTTTAAAAAAGGGGAAAATATCCTCATAAATCCAACACACACATGCACCTTTGAGTGGCCACCTGCACTCCTGGGCATGTCATCCCCTCCAAGAAGCAGCAGTGCAATACAAAAACTCAAAGAAGTCAGATGCGTTGGGTGAAAAGAAGCAGTTGAAGGGGACCCTAAAAGCATCAAGCACTCAAAATGGTACAGAAAAAGTAAATGGAGAGTTCTCATTTTTCTCCCTGGTGGTGATCTTCAAGAAGATGTAAAATGAAGCAATGCAGAAGGGGAAAAAAGCAAACAAACAAACAAAAAAAACAACAAAAAAAAAAAGCCAAAAACAAACAAACAAACAAAAAAACCACAACACAAAAAAGTCAGCCTGTAAAAGCCTCATTTATTATAGTTTTCCTGAAGCATCAATAGCAGTGTTTGGTGGATGAGGATCATCTGTACTATGTTACAGATCCCCTTTGAGGGTGAGGGTTGCTAATATGCCAAAATGGCATTAGAGGGCAGCGCATAGCAACCTAACTGGAGTTTTTTGAGGTGGCAATCGTGGTTGTGGGAAACCACCCCTCAAAACCTCTGAGCATCAGGAGAACAGAGCAGCTCTCACTCCCACAGGTGGGAAATGGTGGGGACCACAATGTGGCACAAAAGCAAAATATCAGGACTGATGAGAGCACTTTATTTGCTTTCTCCCTGCCATCCCCCCCGAAAATACTTGCTTCATTATCATTGTCATCTTCCCAATGATCTTCATTCAGCTTTGCCCACGTGGCAAAAATGAAATACGAAGAGGAAATGCCAGGGGAAAATTCATCCTGGCTTCGGAAGATTGACTTAAGTTTGCTGGCTTGAAAAGCTACTCCATGAAGTAGCAATCTGAAAGAATTGAAAATAGTTAG